GGTGACAACAAAATTATTTAAGCGAATTTAAATTTGAAATATTTAACGAAGATGGATTTGATGGGAAAATTTTAAAGATATACATTTTATTTAAGCTCTAAAATATGCGCATATCGCACGCCGTTCTTACTATTAAGGTGAGATAAGTCGTAACACAGTAGATGGGTCGAGAGGGTGTATCTAGAATGACAAATCAAAGCTTATTTAGTAAAGCATTATAAATTGACTAATATTTATTTATTATTTTATTAGTTAACAAAAGTACAAAAGAGCTTAAATATTTTAGGTGGAAGTGTAAAGCACACTGAAATCTTCATAAACGGATTTTAATTTATTTGCAGCATGGATTAACCTAATACTTATGTATAAGCGTACACGATTGATTACATACATATGTATGTAAGAATAAATACAGGTAGGCACTCATAAAAGTATGTAAGAACAATCGTTAAATGCATTTTATGACAACAAAGCGGTGTCTGCTTGCCATTTAAAATAATCGCCAATATTAATTTGCTTTGAATGCATTGAATTTTGCACAAACAAGAATTGCAGATACATAAATAACTTTTATTGTGCATTTGTTTGTGAGGTAGCAACAAAGCTTGTTAAATTAACACTTTCAGGACGAAGGGAAACATGATTTCCAAGGAGTTTCTCGACTCACAAGAAACTGTACGAACCATTTTAAAGTTTTCTGTTTTTATCATGTGTCGCCTTTTTAATTAAGTTATTTTTATCAACAAATTTTGGAAAGAAAAATTTTATATTTTTATCAAAACTAAAAAATTTACTATTGATTGATTGATACATAAAATTATTTTTGGACAAAATTAAAACATAAAAAAAGCGATAAATTTTCGAAAAAGTTATTGTTGAAAAATTTTTAGAAAATAAACATTTATGAAAAAAACTTTAAGGAAAAAAAATTAATTAAATAAAATACTATTTTAACCCGGAGTTTTAGAAGAAAAAAATTTTTTTTTTATTTTTTGTAATGATTTTTTTGAATGAATATTGGTTTTGGAAAAAAATGTATTTCTTAGAAAAAAAAATACTTTTAACAAAAGCAGAAATTATCGAAAAAATTTTGAAGAAATTGAATAGTTTCCCTTATTTTTAGACCTTTTCTTTTATAAAATTAATATTTTATGCCTAGAAAAAATATTTTTGTTTCTTCGATTAAAAAAATATGTGCACAAAAATCAGAAAAAATTATCCATACAAAAAAATGTGGGCAAAAAAGCTTTGTAGAAAAAAGTGTTGAGGAAACTGAACTGTAAAAAATTGCTTTTTCCTTATTTTTTCTATAAAAAAAAATCATTTTTTACCGACCTCAAGAAACAAGAAACAAAAAGGACAAAAAGTCAGTTTTGTTTTTTCCTTAAAAATTACTTGTTAATTATAAGTTTACGGTCCCGAAAAGGTTAAAACTATGTACTGTTACCAGCAATAATGTTGGGCCCTGCTGCTGCAGTCGAGTAATAATGAAAATTTCAAGTCTACAAACTTTTGTATCAAAGCTTACGCTCCTTCTGCATTGTTCGGAAGTTGAACAAGCTGCTGAAAAATGCCAATGTTGGCTTGCCGGCAGCGTGGTTGCGGAGACTCAACGTCATTCAATAGTAAACTCCAACCTTGTTTTGTGAGGGGGAAGAAGAGACTAATTGCAGGTACATGAAAGCAATTAAAAAGTTAAAAACTATAAACACAAAAGGAACAAACAGAAAGTTAAATTGCAACTTAATAGATTCTCCATTTTTAACTTCGTAAGCTATTTCAACTCTTATTGCCTGATTTTAGTTAAACACTTACTTCATTCAATTGCTTTGGTAATGAGCATCGTAATGTATTATGTAACTGCAGGTAAATTTTAATCCTCCTACATACATATGCGGCCCTTACCGGCAAAAAGACGTAAGCGAAATTTTGTTCAAAGTTATATTTTTGATACAGAAATATATCTAGATGTTCTAGGAGCATTTCTGCATCAGAATGAAACTTTTTAAAAAATGTCACTTACGTCTTTTTGGCGGTTAGGGTTATACATGTGTGTACAATACGGCAGACACAACCCAAATAAGTTTACCATTTCACAATCGTTATTTCTCCAACACAAAATTTACTCGAGTGTGGGTTTGGATCCCCGCCTCCCGCCATGAGAACAAACCCTACCTGATTCGTAAAATTAACTGTTTTATTGCTTGTGCTTTGACTTTTACGCGATTTTCGTTCAAATTCTTATACTACTTACGCAGCCACACGTAATTCATTTAATTGCCCTTTCAAGCTGTGGTCGAAAACATGAAAAGCAGTTAAAGTGACTGGTGTAATTAAAGCTGTCAATTAACGTCAAATTAACGGTAAATTAAACTTTGCAACCGGGCGATTGTGCTCGTTTTAAGGATAGACCTAAGATTGTAAAGCTCTTTGAGCAGTTAATGGAGACGTTTGTCTTGCCGTAAGTGGTTTGTCGCGCAATAGAACTTTGCACTTTCTTGCAGCCCAACATAAAAATTCTTCCATGAACCGCTTCAGACAATTCGCTCGCCCTTCTACTAGGTCTTCATTGGCCATGAAATGGCTCTAGCAATTTTGCCTGAGTTAATCATAGCACGCCTCAGCATTCCTTCGTTTGACTACGGTATCTTTATATTTCATATTACCTTTTGTATTAGTTAATTGAGTTACACCTTTCAAACAGGTGGCGGCCCGCTTCAAAAGTATTTTCAAGCTTAATCCTTGTTGACTCTCCTTGGCCTGCCATTGCGATACATATTTTAATTAACTGATGAATTCAGTGGAATTTGATTTTTTAAACATGTGGTTGAGTACAGTTCAGAAATAAAAGTTTTTCCAACCCTCTTCGATTGATACCCATATTTTAATAATTCATGAAACTTATTAAATAATTTAATTTTAACTTTTTAAACAGGTGGCAACCCTCTTCCGACACCTCAAAAATATTCTTAGCGTTCAAACTAGAGATTTCTTGACACTCTTTCGTTTGACATCCATATTTTGATATTTCATATACATAACTTGTGTATAAGTAAACTAAATTCAACATTTCAAGCAGGTGGCAAGCCTTTGCCGCTTTCGTTTGGTACCCATATGGTGATGCATATTTTTCTTAGCTAATATGATTTTTTTAACAGGTGGCAACCCTACTATAGTTCAGCTGAAAAACAAAGCTTGGCTGAGATTTCCTATAATGGACCATTTCCTATATCACCCAAAGTATTACGAATTTTTTAATGAAATTCGCAGGGGGTGTTGAGGAGGTGCTCATTGACCGATATCATCAACATTTTGTGTACAAATGCTAATAGTTTTTAAGTTATTCGTTGTTAAAATTTCCCCACTGCTTCACAATTATTTTTTTATAAACACTGCACTAATCACTTTTATCTTTATTAATACACCATCTTTTCTTCATAAACAAATGGATGCGCATCTTTTTTCACTAAATATTTAGCCATTAATGCTTATAAAAATGTTCTTAAAATATTTTTTTATTCTCAAAGAATAGTAAACACACAATTGTTCAGCGATGGCCGCCATGAATGAGGTGCCATATCGTTGAAAATGTTAATAGTTCTTTTTAGCCAAAAATACTTTGTGATGCATTACGGGATTGAAGGCTAAAAGGAAAATATTAATTTTACGGTCTTATTTATGCACATATATTTAAGAGTTTCTTTTAAATCGGTGATATATAAATTAATATTATTGTAAAAATTTATTTTAATGTATATAGTGCATTTTGAAATATATAATCGGGCGATTTAAACGAATAAAAAACGTAGATGGCGGTGCCGTTTAAACGCAAGTGGCAACCAATAACGACGCTCATTCTATTTAATTTATCGCGCGATTTTTTATTAAAAATTTTCGCCTGCGGCGCTTTTTTCTAAAAAATCCAATACTTCCATATATCTTGAAAATTTTCACCTCCGGCCCTTTTTTTTATCAATTCTTCCATATATAGTGAAAATATCCAATAAAAAGCTATATCATATATGTACATGTCCACTTTATTATTTACGTTTTCGTTGATTCCCTTTTCAGTACTTTTTTTTTACACATTTTTTGTGATGTGTGGCAGCACCGCAATTTCAGTTCACTCGATGTACAAAGGAAAATGTGAGGTTAAATTGCACTTTTTTTACAACTTTAACAACGAATTACTTAAAAACTATAAGCCTCCGGAGGGGGGGTTTTCAGATTTAGAATCACAAAAAGCCGCTCTAAACCCCCTCATTTTTTTTTTCAAAGCCTGGTCCATTATTGGAAAATTTTCCCTAATGTTTAAATAGCAACTCTTCAAAAAAAGTAAGACCAGTTTGCACATCTACAGGCCAAGCGCTTTAATTTGACACCCCATCGAGCGAACAGTGCAGGTCTTTTATCCTGAACAAAAAATTCCTTTGCGTTAACCCTTGGTTTTATTGCATACCTCTGTCCAGTATCGGCTTAGATCCTCAACCTTCCGGACTGAAAACATCAATACTGCATCGCCATGTGTGCTTTTGCACAAACGATAAGAATTTCTTGGCAGTTTTTCTTTAGTTGTTTATTAAAATCAAGAAAATACATATGTTCTCACTCATAAGGGTTAGCATGAAAGTCAAATCAAAGAAAATTTTCTGATAATAAATTGTCAAATAAGAGTACCGAAATAGAATGTCATTCCTATCTGGCACACCTTTTATATTTTTTCACAATGCCCCAGTGTAGTTTGCGTGTTGGGTAAAAGTACTTACCAGACAAATATTTTGTTTACAAACAAAAGCTGACGCAGCTTCGCTTTGCTCTGCCCGCTTTTGTTTTTGCTTTGCTTTTGCTTGTATGCCGGCTGCCTAGCAGAAGACGCCAAAATTTATTTGCTTTTGTTTTTGCTGTTGTCTTTCTCTCCATTTATTTTGTGCTCTTCTAATAAATACCAAAAAACAGCTGAGAAGCAAAGCCGGCATTGCGTCTGCGCTACAAATGTCAAACTATGAAAATAATAAGCGTCGAAGAATCAATTGGATAAAACGTAGAAGTGAAGAAAATTTTCATATTTTTGCAAATTGGAGGTGTTTTCACAATTTCTATGAGCTATTTCAAGCGTATTTCCGTGGTGAATATAAATGAAAATATATTAAAAACAAATAGAAAAGATTAATTAGTGCTAAGACGCGAAAAGCTGCTAAGGAAAGCAAAGTGTGCCGGCAAAGGTTTAAGAACTTGAATTTTCCCAATTTATGGTGTTTTTCGCGTACGTGTGTGCGTGTGTGTGTTTGTACGGGGGGAAAAACGCAGTAATTACGCAAGTTTCTAAACGCATCGCAAGCCCCACTTTTCTGGAAGTGAACTGCTGTCGCTGTGTGAGCTATAAAAGCTGCTCCTCCGTCTGCCAAAATTAGCTTCGCCGCCCTCAGAGTGGTCACAAACAAAATTGTTAATTTATGCGATTTTTGCGTTCATTGCGGCATTTAACAAAGGCCGACCACCGTCTTGCTGCCGCCACACCCCTTCATATTCCAAAGGTACACAACAATAAATACAATTAACTCTTTTTTCACTTTGCCAACGAATGCTTTGATTGCTTGTGGGTACTGCTGCAGAAATCCCCATTTTTGTTGGCATTCAGTAAATATTAGATACATACATACTTGCAAAATCATTCTTCCACAATCAGATGTACATACCGTTACGTTAATATTGAAAAAGGCCCTATCTCCCGTCGTCGCTGAAATACAAAAGGCCGTAACTAAGTATAACTCCAAAATTCCCTTTTTGATTTATTATGATGCATTTCATCGAATTATAAGTCCGCAGTTCAATTTAAGCAATAAAAAAATTTTAGTTTGTTACGGTTTTTTGCATTTCACCGACTTTATGAGTTAGGGCCTTTCTATATTAAGGTAGCGATATGTATGTATGTATAGGCTCACTCACTAATACGGTGTTCGCATGAGGCGATTTTCCCGAGCAGGGGAGAGAGAACACTGAGTGCAGACGCTCGCCCCCTCCACCGCGATAGTTCTGCCATAATTACGAGTACAAAACATCGCAAAGAAGTAAATTTTACTGTACTTGTGTACTTTCTATAGAAGTTCTTTTTCTTAAAAAAAACCATACAAATTCATATTTAAACTTTTTTGCAAAAATTATAAAAATTCTGCAAAATTGCATCTAAATTTGCAACTTTTTAAACAGATTTTTTAGAATTTTTTTATAATTTTTATTCTGGTTGTATTACGAATTTTTTCCATACAAAAAAACATTTCGAACATATGTACTTAGTATGGAAAAAATTCGTAAAAAAAATTGCCAAGCAAGAACGCGATTTTTTAGCAACCTAAAACTTACACTTCATTCTACTAAAATTAAATGAGCTATAAAACTACATACTCAAAAAAATTCTAAAAAATCTGATTAAAAAGTTGAAAATTTAGAAACAAATTTTGCAGAATTTTTATAATTTTTGCACAGACTTTGAAATAAGTACATAATAGATAATGAGCTATAATTTAAAAAAAAATAATAAATATTAAATAAACAAAAGAGAAATAGACACAATTTGAAAAAATGTCGTGTCCCTATTTATTTTTCCAACTTTGTATGTACATACATATATACGTAAAGTTGACGTCGTAAACCCAAAAATATCTTTTCATTTGTCGTACTTGGTTTTGTTGCTCATTTGTGCCAAATTCCTACTGTGAGTTCATCGTTTTAATGGAGCGTGGGCTGTGGCGGGTTATTTTGGTTACCAAGAATTTCTAAGTACTCCGGATTTTTCCACGAGTAGATATGCCTTCTAATTTGGATATTTTTCCTCGGACGCATGCATGTTGCCTGTGTTTGTAAATACATACATATGTACATAGTAAATGCTTCATTAGGGGCTTCTTCATAGGTACCTATAAGAATATTCCGCTAATGAGTCAGCCTTGGCGCTAGTTTTCTATTTATCCTGAATTTATACAAATACATACATATATTTGTATGTATGTACATATGTACAACTGGGTCCACCAGTGGTAGAATAAATTTGTTCACATAACGTTGTTTTGAATGCATGTAGATTCATATTAAAATTAGACAAAAATTACATCGAATTCCTATCTGCGCAAAGAATAGATCGAGTATAACACATACCTACTACGTTTGTGCGAGAGAGAGGCCAATTAACGTAATCATTTCATGAATTTGAGCAGAAACTCAGTCCAACCCCATTTCTTGAAATCATAAAACGTTGTTTACGCACTTAGTTTCTAAATATGTACTCCAATTCATAAAATGATTATATGAAATAGTATAGTGAAACTGCGTTTTTATTTTTTTTCTCAGACGTCAGGATTTTCTTAAAGGACTTTGTGGTTTAAAGGTACTATGATTAATTCCAAAACTTATTTAAAAATTTCAGTGAAATGTATAATAACAATATGGGTACCAAATGATAGAGAAAATTATGTAGAATTGAAAAATAATAATTTGGTTCACAAAGACGATCAGTTTAAAAGCCCAATATATAATGTGCAAATTTGATATGCTTTAAAATTCGATTTTTGATCATTTTTTTCGACGTTGCTACGCATTTTCTTCCATATAGAATATGCTCAAAATATTTGTGTATGTAAGAAAATGCATAGGATCGTAAGAATGTTTTTTAAAATTAACGCGCTTAGCTGCTTCAAAAATTAAATTGGCTATAAAACTGTATAGGTTAGGTAAGACTAAGTTAACGTGGAAGTCAGTCCAAATGACCGACTCACTTTGACACTGCAAGTTCATTGTGGTAGCTCTTATGGAGCTCTTATGTGGCTTAATATTGATTTTATTCCAACATCGGATAGTTCTGCTGTAAGAGAGCTAGGGAAGCGTTTCCCAAAAATCCTGCTCTGTTTATGTTTATTTCTCTCCCTCATCTCTACAACTTCTACAAAATTCATGGGATGATATTCCTAATCTATCAAATAGCCAATGACCGGTTACAGAGGCCATGACCTGCGAAATGTCCTCTCTTGAGAGGCTTAGCAGTTCTTTTCTTTTTTTCTTATCAATTTGCGGTCATAGTAGCCTAGTTGTTGCACATCTATTATTATTATTATTCTAATCCTTAATTTGGAGGTTGCCATGTCGTCGCCTCGGTAAAACATTGTCGTAAGCGTCATACGTACATGCGTAACATACGACAATCTTTTACCCAGGCGACGATGGGTATCCCAATTTTGCCTCTGTTTTCACCAAGAGGAAGATTGGTATGTGCCGAGGTCCATCTATGCTCTCAATCACAGCATAAGACTGCACGGCAAACCTTTTTTTCTAAAAATTCTGATTAAAAAGTTTGAACTTTTAGTGAAAATTTAAAAACTTTAATTTTTCTAATTTTTATACAATGTTTAAAATGTGAATTTATATCGACCGCATTGTGCAAAGTTCTCGTATGTACCATAAACCAAATTTTACAGGAGAGCATTTTTCTACTTTTAATTTTTATTTTAATATTTTGAATTATGTTTTCTTTACTTTCTGCAAAATACTTTTGTATGGCATAAACGATGATTTCGCTCACAAGAAAAAATCATATAACATACGATAAAAAAACAGTAAAATTTTGGCGTAACTATAGGAATTTCAGTTACAATATTTTACCAGGTTATGTGTTGTGGGGTTTAGAACAAATTTCGCGCAAAGGTATCTGAAGGTCTTTGGAAGGACTTGGCATGACTCCCTACATATCAGTTTGCCGATATGTTTCGATAATTTGATACATATCGATAATTCAATTAATTTCAAAACACTAAATAATAAATAATATCGATAAATTTCGACAACTGTGCATTTCGCGGGCTCGATAAATTTCCATAACTCAAAAATTTATATACATATCTGTATATAAATCGATAACTCGATAAATTTCGATAACTCATTATGATAGCTACATATCGTTTGAAAGCTATCGACAAAATTCGATAAGTCCTTACACTCTGATAACACGATAAAATTCGATAAGCAGTGATAACTCAATAAACTTGTATAACCTTGAAATTTCGATAATTCGATATATGTATTTTGAAAATACCAAAAACTTGTATTCGATATCAACATCAACAAATTTTAGTAAATCAATAAATATCGTTAGCTCGAATAAGTTGAATGAACTCGATGCATTACGATAACTTTTACTTGGCTCTATAAGAAACCACTTAAAGTTATACATACATATGTATAACACCCTGTGCTGCACAACGAGCTTCATTCGAATGCATACATTTAGGCCTTAACGCTAAAACAGCATCTTAATTGCACAGCTTTTNATAACTTTTACTTGGCTCTATAAGAAACCACTTAAAGTTATACATACATAAAACACCCTGTGCTGCATAACGAGCTTCATTCGAATGCATACATTTAGGCCTTAATGCTAAAACAGCATCTTAATTGCACAGCTTTCGTACTTGCGTTGCAATGACAAAAGCGCGCACACACACATGAACGCCCACAAATGCAGTTAAGAGAACTCAACTAAAACATGTTTTTTGCCCACGAACTGTTTCAATGCGCAGAGTGATTGTAGGCTACAATGGCATTGCAACTGAACTTCCCAGCAAATTTCTCAATTTTCCAAATAAACTTTCAATTTACGTATTTACGATTTAAGCTCACTACTCTGATAATTAGAAAATTCGCTATACATACACATATGTATGTAATTTGCAACTTACGTTCTTCAATTTCTTAGCTCATTAAAAAATTTCGAAGAAAGCAAAGCAGCTACAAAATAATTTCAAATTATAAATTAAATTATGTATATAGAATGTAGAATNTAATTAGAAAATTCGCTATACATACACATATGTATGTAATTTGCAACTTAGGTTCTTCAATTTCTTAGCTCATTAAAACTTTTCGAAGAAACAAAATAATTTCAAATTATAAATTAAATTATATCGAATGTACATACATATGTACGCAGAAATCAATTTGAAAATACATAGCAATTTTACACAGCACACATAAACAACTACAAAAACATTAGCACAACAATAACTGCCACAAATTAACATTCAGATAAAGTGCAAAAGCTGCAAGCACAAATAAAAGCAAAGTCTTTACCACAAAGTCATTAGTGGCAGCAATAATACTCGTACGTCAGGCAATCGCAACGGCAGCAACAGCCAAACAACTACAGCGACGTTTAATTTTCAAACGGAAAATGTCATTGACGGAGCAATTAAGCGCCGAACCTCAGTCGAATATTCGTCCCTTGCCGCACTCCATCGATGGAGCCAAGGATGGTTTGGTAAGTATTTATTGTCCGCTTTTAGGCGTTCCACATTGCATGCGTTGAATTTTACTAAGTTGCGCATGTTTTCTTACTAATTTCAAGTTTTTGTGCATAGTTTTTGTTGGTTTTCAAATTATAATTGTTATTCTAAAGGGATATATGTACGTACATTAGACTGTACCAGCAAAAAAAAGTTCGCCGTACACCTTCGAATCTGAAGTATTTTCGAAAACAAATTTTTTTTGTTCG